TCCACCATCGCCTCCGCCGACACCGGGGCTCGAGAGGCGCGAGGCCTGAGCTGCACCATGGTGTCTGCGGCGCCAGAACGGCTGACCTCTGACCCGGAAGCAGTTGTAAGCAGAGCGCGATGCGAAGGAGCTCTCGCCGCCGGATTTCATCGCCACCTGCAGGTTCGGAAGACCGAGGCCAGGCGACGGCGCGTGCGCGGAGGAGCAGGGGCGTGGTTCCCCGGCCTTCTTCACGGATGCGGCGACGGGGCCGGATGTCACACCGACTGGTGCCCAGACACCCGGTACCCGTCACTTGTGTCGTCGCCACGTTAGCATCGGGTTGGGTTCCGCGTGGTCGGTCCAGTTCGTCAGCGTCTGTGGGTTCGGCTCTGTCCACCCCGAGCCTCGATTGTCCCGGGAAGAAGACCCTGGTGGCGGTCAGCCCTGCAGAGCCGGCCTGAGTCCTTGGCCCCAGACCAGTACCGGCGGCCGTGTCTGATCCTCTTCTCCCCTTGCTGTCAGTCCGACTCAATGATCATGGAAGCTCTGACCTGTGCGGGGTCCTTGAACAGCGCCTGCCCTGACCCGTCGACAATGCTAAGTAATATCTGTGGAAAGAATAAGTGCCACCTTATCGAACGTCCCGCGTGTGTGTTATTCCCCAAAAGTATATTCTCTGTAATACCTTCGCCCCCCGCCCCATTATATAGTGCTAAATGCTATGTCATTCTCTGCACACATCAGGCTGTTTCACCCTTGTAAGTAAGCGCTGTTGCATCCACTGATATGCACACTCCTGTTAGAGCTCCTATTCACACTTCAAAACCCTCAACTCAGGCTGAGTTCAAGCACCTCAACATTCACCCACCCTACTGCCACTCTGCCCATCACTAACTGTACTTTTCTCTGAATCTTGCACAAATTTTTAGTACTGTAGCTTCCATCCTGTAACAATAGTTCAACTGTCCCGGGGCCTTCAGCGTGAGAAGGCCCGGGTCTTGCTTATCGTTTATCAAATAGTTCAATAAATACTCAGTTGAATGATTCATTCTCATACATATTTGTATTTCAATTTCCTTTTCTGATTTAGAAGCAATCCCACTTTCAAAACAACAAAACCCAATACAAATAGTAAACACAAGAAGAAACTAAGGTACCAGTGCCCGAACAAGTCTAAGCTCTGGGTCTGGGCATGGTCAGAAACTACAACCAGAGCTGTACCTGAACTTGGACAGGATGCTGCCTTCCACGTCAACACTGGGATGGTGTCTGCGGCTGACTTGGAGAAGCCCAGGAACTGAGCCTGCTGAACGTGCTCCACAGTTCCTAGTTTAAGAGCTGTACTATAAGCCTTAGAACACTTCCCCTTTGCTGCATAGCCTTCAACCCACCCACGTAAGTTTGACGCCCTCAGGGCACCTGGATGGTTCCCCGTAAATTATGAACCTTCCTCCTTCCCCGCCAAAAAAAAAGGACCTTTGGGTTTATTAAAATGTTGGTTTTCAAATGCAGTACAGAGTTTGACATGATGTTTGGGCTGATCCTTGAGTGATCCACATATTTGCAGTGTTCTTTTTTCTCATCCTGGCTTTCTATTTTGTTACTTTCCCCTCCTTTCCTCTCTTCTCCCCTCCCTCCCTTCCTCCTTTTCTTCCTCCCATGAATTCTTGTAAATTATCGCATGTTTTTTGAGGTAAGACAGCCAAACAGTAAATATTGAAAATAAAAGGCTCCCCAAAAGACATCTCTTGGGGTAATATCTTTATATAATAAATTCCCTACTGTAGTCAGTGATCTCATTTTCCATCAACACTAGTGCAAAAATCAGAATACCAGGGTTTTACCCTTCTATCTTTTCCAATGAGAAAAATACATCGATTTTAAGACAGTCTCATTACAAGTTTTTCCCTCCCAATAAACAATCAAACACAAATGTAAGACAGTTACATTTCAGTTCACGCCAAGCATGCATTCACTGTATATTTCTCTGACTTCTTCCAAGCCCAATCACTTAGAAGTAGTTAGAATCCAGAGAATCAGAGAACATTTTTAGATCTTCCAGTATTTGGCTCACAATACACAGACTATTTCTCCTGTTTGTGACCTGGTTCTTTGTCATATTGGGATTTCTTCCTTTCCCAGGACACTTAAATAGTTTCAGTTTCATGACGAGCAAGGGCTTCGGGAAGAGTTGTCCCGCAAGGTCCCTGGAAATAAAACCTAAATGGAAAGACCAAGGGCAGCAGAGTTAGGAGCTGTAGGTTAGTGAAAAGAACACACAGCTACATCGAGTCTCAGATTCCTTAGGCAATATCCAAAGTAAGATCCAGATTCTCACAGATTCAGTGTCTTGAATTTTGAGGCTACTTCTGTCGTGTCAACAACTCACTATTTGGTGACTAAGGGAGTTTAGAGAAGCAGCTGGTTAGAGTTTATATGATATAATTTCTTGGTGTGGTAGCCCACTCCTGTAATCCTAGTACTTGGGAGGCTGAGGCAGGAGAATCACTGTAAGTTTAGGGCCAGTTTGAACTACATAGTGATATACTGTCTCAAAAATAAATGGACACACAGTTGGAAACTGGATAAAGAAGATGTGGTTTTTCTATAAAATGGAATATTACTCAGGCATAAACAATGAGAAAATAGATTCATTCATAGGAAAATGGATACGTATTGAAGATATACTCCTAAGTGAAATAAATAAGGCACACGTGTAAATACCGAATAGTTTCTCTGGTGTGAATAATCTGCAATAATACAGAAGATCCTAATAAGATTACTGACATTGAGAAATGGGAAGAAAGGAGCTAAAGGTGTAGGGAAGGTAGGATGGGTAGGGGAAGGGTAAAAAGGGAAAAGAAAAATATGTGAGATAATGAAAAGATGGAAATAAAGTGGTTGTAGATGGGGAGGGGAGGAGGGGGTGAAGGGAGGGCAGGGACAAGGGGAAAAAATGAGAACCAAGACTTGTCATGTAGAGGTACAAGATCCCAACAATGAATGTAACTATACTGTATCCCTAAAATGTACCAATAAACTCAATTAAAGCTGAAAAAAATTAAAAAAAAATAAATGGACACAAATGGAAAGAAATCCCATGGTACAGGCATAAAAAACACATTGGCCAATGGAACAGACTAGAATCCAGAAATCAATCCACACATCTATGGCAAACTGATTACCAACAAAGGTGCCAACCTTAGACATAATGGGGAAAAGATAGTTTCTTCAAAAAAACAATAACAGAAATGAAACTGGACCCTTATCTCATTTCATGTAAAAAAATCAGTTTAAACTGGATTAGATACTTAAAACATAGCCCTGAAACTGTGAAACTACTAGGGAAAAAAAGCACATAAGAAATCCCTTATGACATTATTCCAGGCAATGAATTTTTATATTTGACTCCCCAAATACAAGCAACAACAATAAAATAAAGGGGACTACACTAAAAAAAAGTGCTTCAGTGTAATAAATGAAGCAACAAACAGTGAAGTGACAATCAATAGGTTGGAAGGAGATGCTTGCTAAGAGGTTAATGCAATCCCTACATAAGGAATTCAAACAACTCTACAGAAAGAAAAGAATCAAATAATGGACGGGACCAGCATATACATTTCCTAAAAGAAGACATCCAATTGACCACTAGGAATATGAAAAACATCACCTATCATTGGGAAATGCAAATTAAAATCACAATGAGGTATCACATTTCATCTGTCAAAGCAACCATTAGACAAAAGAACAATTGTTGGCAAGGATATGGAAAACATGCATTTCCTATCAAAATTCCAATGTCCTTTTTCATAGCTGTAGGAAAAAAAATCCTAAAAATTTATATAGAACCACACAATAAAAAACCCCAAATAGTCAAGGTGATCATGAGCATAAAGAACAAAGCTGGAGGTGTCCCTTGTACACGCCCGTCCACTGTTGGTAAATATGTAGAGATAGTAAATGGTAAATATATAAAAAGCCACAGTGGAAAACTGCAGGGTTCTTCAGGAACCAGAAAGACTGCAAGACCCAACAAGAGATCCCACTTCTAGGTATTTACATGGCAAGAGATGTACACACTCCCCTGTCTTCCAAGTGCCCCTTTCCATTCACAAAAACCCTGAAACCTCACACATATCAAATTTTACAATGGTGCCTCAGAGTATAAAATCACAAGGGCCCAATATTGGCACAGAACTGAGAAAACAAATGGTTTCTAAAAGCTGGGAACACATCCTTGGAGCAGTAAAGCAGTTTCATTCCTGCTTTCAATAAAGACAGAACTGTCAGTGAACAGCCCAATAAATATGGCACAAAATGACTCTGTGTGTCGTGGCACATTACTTGGCCAGGATTTAAAATAGCATGTCCATAGTAGACTTCAACCAGTTCTAAAGATTACAGAAGATCAAAGACAACACAGTGAGCATTTAGCTCAGTGGCACAAGGTCCTGAGTTTGATACCAGTACAACAAAATACAACAGGGCTGGGGATTTAGCTCAATGGTGACACCCCCTGCTTCGAAAGCACAAGGACCTGAGTTCAATCTCCGGTACCACACACACACACACACACACACAGAGCACAAAACAAAAAGGCAACGTAGTGGCTGCAGGGCCCTGGGAACCAGGTGCTCAGAATGCCCTCAACCCAGCTTGTGGTGAGCACAAAACCCATCTCTGCCTCAGCAACATACAAATCCTTATGTGCCACAGAGCCTTGGGGTTGAGTAACAGTCAAAATACTGAGGGTGCAATCAGAAAATGCCTAGGATTTACTGTAAAGCAATTATCCAAGGCAACCATTCAAGATTTAGAAAATGGCAAAATCCAAACTGGAGCTGATTCACACCTTGGCAATATCAATACACCTCTTTGGGAGGTGAGTTCTGTAGAGGCACAGTGACGCTCAACAACTAGGCCACACACCAAGAGGTCCCACAGGAGATTTTATTAGGGAAGGCAGGTTAGGGAGAGAGGAGAGAGACGAGAGAAGAACAAAGAAAGGTCCTTTTATCATTTTTGGGGGGTGGGCTATTGCTTATTTATGAGGAGTGGGCTACCTTTAACCTATCACAGGCCAGGTTGCCCTTTATGGGTTAAGTCCTGCAGAAACAGGTTCAACCTCTTCGGACCACTGTGGCTTTGGGGGGAGGGAAACAAAAGAAAAGAGTATGAAGTCATTTTAAGAGCCAAGAAGCACCAGGAAAATGCAGCCTGTGATGGCAGCGTCAGGTTCCTAACAAGATCTGTGGCTTTAAATTAGACCTGGGACAAAGAATCTAAACAACCTGTGCAAGGCCTGAGGAGTCTTGAGTTTATGTAGGCAGCACTCCAGATACTGGTTAGGTAAAAAAATAAATCAGGTTAAAAGTAGCAGGAAATATCATCCAATTTTCTTGTTTCTCATTAACTTAGGGCACGGATTGGTAAGATTTTTCTGTGGAAAGCCTCACAGTGAATATTTTGGGCCTTCACAGACCACTCAGTCTCTCTGCTGCACACTCTGCCACTCAAGTGCAAAAGCAGCCACAGATGATAGATGGACATATGGATGTGGCTGTGTGCCAGGAAACTTCATTTACAAATGCAGGCATTCAGCCCACTGGGTCCACATGCAATAGTTTGCTGATCCTTGTCCTGAAGTTCAAGCAAAATTCACTATGCACAAGCTATAAGAATGCACAGGTTCAATCCCCAGTATTACGCATACACACACACACACACACACAATTCAGTGGGCATATTCAGAGTTGTAAGACCATCACACAAACAATTTAGAAAGTGTCATCAACCCAAGAAGAAAACTCATCTTTTCTCTCTGTCCTTATCCTAAAATAGCCATTAATCTACCTACTTTCTACAGATTTCGCTGTTCTAGATATTTTCTATAAGTGGAGCCAAACAATATTTAGGGCTTTTTATGACTATGTCCATCCACTTAGCATAATATTCAAAGGTCACTCATGTCATAGCAGGTATCAGTACTTGGTTCTTTGCATGGCTGAAAAACATCCTATTGTATGAACATACCAAATTTTTTGTATCCATTCATCAGGTGATGGACATTTGGGTTGTTTCCACTTTTTCCATGAATAATGTTCCTACAAACACTCATGTACAATTTACTATGGAGACAAATGTTTCCATTGCTAGGGTTGGACACTAAAGGAGGGGATTGCTGGGTCACACAGGAACTGTGTAGTTAAGAGTCACACTCGTCACAAGTGGCTGCAGCCACACATCCCCACCAGCACTACATGAGGGTACCACTGCCTTCCCCAACACTTGCTATTTTCTTTTTTTAATCACATTCAGCTATTCTAGTTATGACATGGTATCTCACTGTGATTTTAATTTGCATTTTTAAAAATGGTGAATGTCATTTTAATATACCTATTGGGCACATGTATGTATGCAGGGAAAATGCCTTTTCAAATGTTTTCGCCCACTTTTTAAGCAGATTATCTTTTGAATTGTAAGAATTGTTCACATATTCTAGACACAAATCCCTTATCACGTATTAGACTTACAAATCTTTTCTCCAATTCTGTAGGTTGCTTTTTTGCCTTATGGATGGCATTTGTTGAAGTGCCAGTCTTAATTTTGATTGAGTTCAATTTACCCATTTTTCTTATGTTTCTTGTGCTTTTGGTGTTATATCTAAAATTTTTTAAATTAATCCAAGGTTACAAAGATTTACTCTTCTATTCTCTTTTAAGAACGTCATAGTTCTGACTCTTTACACTTAGGTCTGTTACCCACCTTGAGTAAATGTTCATGAATGTTGTGGTGCAGGGCCTAACTTCCTTCTTCTGAAGTAGATCTCCAGCAACACTGCTGAGGAGGCTATCCCACCCCCCACCACCACCGCACACACTGACTTGTCTTTGCAAGCATCTCAAATATCAGTGGACCACAGATGGCAGATTTCTGACTAGATTCTCAGTTCTATTTCACTAATTTATATATCTGTCCTCATGCCAGTAGTACGTTGCTTTAACTAGAGTAACTCTGTAATAAGTTTTGAAATTGGGAAGCATGAGTTCTGCAGATTTCTTCTTTTTGCTTGGCTATTCTGAGTTCCTTGAATTTCCCTATGAACTGTAGGACTACTTTGTCCATTTCTGCAGAGAGGCAGCTGCGACATCTCGATAGAGACTGGACTGAACCTACAGATCAGTTTGGGGAGGACTGCCGTCTTCAAAATAGTACGTTGGTCCCATCCAAGAGCATGGGATATATTCTCATTTAATTAGGTCTTTTGTATTTCTCTAAACAATATTCTATAGGTTTTAGAGTATAAGTTTTGCACAGGAGACATTTTTTTAAAGAAGTCTTCTTAGTTCTGATGACTTACACACAAATGAAAAGCTGTGGGCCAAGAACACAGGGTGTCGCTGATTAAAGGAACACGTGGAGAAGACTAGGATCGGTCAGGCACCTCACCTGATGAGGACCCTGTTTAAGCGTCTGTGGCACATGTTTTATTCCCGGGGAGACCTACAGCAGCAGGCCTCACCCTGGATGTGCAGGAGAACCACAGAAGCCTACACACATCGTGGTGCTCAGGTCACTCCAGGGACCAGTGTCATCCAAACAACACGAGATGGCCCACAGGGTATCTTCAGGGTGGGAAGCCGCCGACTAAATGACACAAATCTTAACTGAAGTTCTGTGTTTTATTTCGATTTGTTACTTATTTATATTCTACCTTATTCTAGAAAGAAACTAAGCAAATTGGCAAGAATTAGAAATGAAAGCAAGAAACTGAGGATGAGAAAAAACAGCAAAAAAGTGCAGGCATCTAGTGGAACTTGGAATGAGACTTCAAAATGTGCTCTGTTATAATGATCTACACTTCCCACCCGAATTTGGGTGACAGGATCAGTATCACAAGGAGGCAAGAATACAAATGTTCTTGTTAAAGATACAAATGAAAGTAAAGTCTCAAGAATCAAAGAGCTTTCAAGGCAGGCAGCAAACTGCTGAGCTTAATCCCCAGCCCTCAGAATATGAAAAAACAAAAGCCCCATGGCAACGCCTATGTAAAAAGATGTAGTTACTCTAGTCTGCCACTAGTACTTTGTTCCTCCCACCATGGTTTTCCCTGTACCTGAATCTGTCGGTGGCTGGGGTGGTTTCCGTGTTAAATTCAGCCACTGGCACTCCCCTGGCCGCTACCTCAGGGGCAAACATGGCAGCTGGGTAGACAACGGAGGAAGTCCCCACCTATGAAAGCAAACACACGGAAGCAGACAGTAACTGCTCTGTGGGGAGAAGAAACATTTTCAGAAAAATTTACACAAACGCAGGCAGGTCTGTGGTTGCAGATGTGAGGAAAGCTAAACTGAATGTGCTAAAATTGACAAAGTCCTGGGACCTTCAGGCCAGTCACTAGAGCTTGTGAACATGCCACACAAAGGAGCGCTATGCAGGTAGTCACGGGAGCAAAGAAATAACCAGGCAACTGTGGGGGATATTCTGCTTTTATTTCTCCTCTTTCAAGTTTTGTGAATCATCTATGTTCTTTTTTTTATTTTTAATTAGGGAATACAAAGAAAAAACATGTATGTTATTCATGATCCTACCACCCCACAATAAGCACTGTTAACATTTTTATATCTATACCATTTCAGGTTTTTTCTTATAAATATATACTCTTATATACATCCCTTACAGGAATGGTAAGCTTAGAACACATTTTGCAATCCAGCTTTTCCTTCTTAACAATTCATCATGAACACTAATACGATATTCACATACTAGTGGAGTGCACGCAATAAAATACTGGCTGACTGTGATAAGAACTCAAAGAGAAATACCTCTGCTTTTTCTTTTTTTAGACAGGGTCTCACTATGTAGTTTGTGGCTGGCCTTGAACTCACTATGTAGCCCGGGCTGGCCACGAACTCACAGCGATCCTCTTGCCTAAGTCTCGGACAAGCATTGGCCACCACGCCCGGCAGTACCTTTTAAAGACATGTTTAGGTAATGCTAAATATCCATATGCTTTGTCCACTAATTCCACTTCTAGGAAATGTGTTCTAAGGAAATAATCTGAAAAGTATGCTAATATTTTAGGCTTTTCATCACAACATTATTTAAAATTCCAAAAGCTGAAATAGGCCAAATGTCTAGCAATAGAGGATTGGTTAAATACATCATTTTATAGCCACATAATAGAGACACCATGAAGTCAATTAAAAGTGATGTAGATTTGGCTGTATTTACACAAAATATACTGAGGAATTGCTGTGAGCAAGGTAATTTCAGGACAGAATGTACATCTTGAATTTGCTTTTCAATAGTAACCAGTGCATATACATTTACATAAGAAGAGGTCTAAATCAGAGGGAGTCAAACTTTTGCTGAAAAGGGCTATAAAGTGACATTTTAGGCTCTGCAAGTCCTCTGGTGTCTGTCAGGAGGACTCCACTCTGCTGCTACAGAGAGATAACAGCCACAGGCAATGGCCATGGCTGTGTTCCAATAAAACTTTATTCATGAAGACAGGGCACAGACCAGACTTAGCCCACAGGCTACAGTTTGCTCATTGGCTGGTCTAGAAGAAAAACATACTAAGATGTTAACAGTGTCTATTTCTAATGGTAGAATTATGAGTGTTTTATGACTGTTTCTAGATGGTAGAATTATGGATGCTTCCTAATTTACTGTTTTTTGTTTTTTTTTTTTTTGGTACGGGGATCGAACTCGGGTCCTTGCGCTTGCAAGGCAGGCGACCAAATCACTGAGCTAAATCCCAGGCCCTAATTTACTTTTGATAATTTAAAATTTTTGTATTCATTAATGAACTTTAATAATGAACATGTGCTATGTTAAAATCTGAACCATTAAAATGCCTTTTTGGGGGGCCAGGCGTGGTGGCGCACACCTGTAATCCCAGCACTCAGGAGGCTGAGGCAGGAGGATCACTGTGAGTTCAAAGCCAGCCTGGGCTACATAGTGAGTTCCAGGTCAGTCTCAACTACATAGTGAGACCCTGTCTCAAAAAAAAAAAACAAAAACAAACAAACAAAAAAAACAACAACAAAAAATGCCTTTTTTGGTAGGCGAGAAAGTTTTAAAGATGCTCAAAAAATAGTCTTCATCATTTCATATCTTAAGAGCAATTTTTTATCAGTTGTTTAGTTTCTCTGTGGGATATTGGAGTACCTCTCCACATACATTTTTCAGGAAAGAAAGGAGAAAAGATAGAAGGAGGAAGAAGAGCAGAGAGGAGAGGAAGAGGTGGGAGAGAGAGACACAGAGGAGGAGGAAAGGAGGAGGCACGGAGGCAATGACAATGCACTGCACCCTATGTTCAGGGTTTTGAAAATCCTGAGCATGGGGAAGGGCAGGACCTACCACCAGACATAAGTCACAGAGCTCCAGCTCTCTGGAGGCCTTCTCCAGTATGGCAGGATCCAGGTTTTCTCCAAACCACACCACATGGGGTCGCAGCAAGCCCCCGCACCCTGCCACTTCGCACCTGTAAGGATGGGATTGGTAAATCACCCTGGCCAGTTCGCAGGCGGAAGCCAGGCCACCCAGATGGCCACCTCTGACCCTTCCTGCCACACCCCAGCCCTGCCAGCCTATGTCAACAGCCCTGGACAGAGCGCTGAGTCTAATTGTACTGGGACACCACTGTCTTGTCTCTCCCCACTGAGTCGCACTCACATGGTTTCAGCCCAGCTCCTAAAGTGCCCTATTCTTCCCGCTACTTCATTACCCTTCCCGGCACCGCTGTGCTCTGTTCCCCAGACCTAGGTGTCACTTGGGCCTCAGGTTCGCCTCTGAACCTGCGCCCTCCCCTTACTTCATCAGTGACTGCCTTCCCTTCGCTCTTGAGATCTTCCCACAGCTAAGTTCTTCGGCCATTACTAAATAACATGCCTTTCTCACCATCACCTCCGTTATATCTGCACTTTCTAAACTCATCTCCCCCAAATACCATTTTCATCACACTCATGTCCTTCTCAGGAAACCCCTAGAGCTCCTTATTCTCTCCAGATCAAAACTTCCCAATTTAGTTACAAAACCCTTACAAGAAGAAAAAAGTGTATTTTGTGGGGTTAAAAGAGAAATATTAACATATAACCCGCTTCTCAGAAAGCAATAACATACTTTAGCATTGTGCCAGGATTTTTTTGTTTTGTAGCACTGGAGATTGAACCCAGGGCCTTTCCACTGTGCTACATCCCCAGCTTTTTCAGTTATTTATTTTTATTTTTTGAGACAGTGTCTTGCTAATTTTCTAAGTTGCCCAGGTTGGGCTTGAACTCGGGATCTTCCTGCCTCAGTCTCCGAGAGTGCAGGGTATACAGGTGTGTAACAGGTGTGTACCATCATGCCCAGCTATGCCAGTGAATCTTAGCTGTCAACTTGACTATACTAAAAAGCTCTGGAGAAGTGACTGGCTCCTGGGGGTGTTGTACGCATCCCTGGACTAATCCCCAGTGTTCACAGCCAAAGGTGCTATTTAGAGGTGGGACCTAAGTGGAGGTGGGGTCCAGATGGAAGTGGGTCACTGGGGGCCTTTGGAGGGTGAATCTTTTCCCCTGTGCTCTGCATCATGGCCAACAGGAAGTGAGCAGGTTTGCTCCAACATGCCCTTCCACCATGATATTCCACTAATGGAGCCAGCCAACCATGGACTCACTCCTCTGGTACTGTGAGCTAAAACAAAGCTCTCCTTTAAACTGTGGGTGTCGGGTGTTCTGTCCCAACAATGGAAAAGCTGGCCGTTACCAGCATGTTAAACACTCTGAAAAGTCCTACAGTAAATCAAACATATTTTAACCTTGTTTCATCTAATGCTATTTGTTTGAACACATGACATCTTTTTTTTTTTTCCGAAGTAATGGCTACCTAATCTTCATGGACTATGCGACTCTATGAAATACTTTCAGAAGTACTCTTTCTTTTTCTTTGGTCTTGTTAAGTAGTTTAGGCTGGTCTTGAACTCACTGTGTAGCTTAGGCTGGCCTTGAACTCATGGCAGTCTTCCTGCATCAGCCTCCTGAGTGCTGGAATTATAGGCATGTGCCTCTATGCCCAGGGTTCGGAAGCACTGTTTCAATATCTAGTTTTGAAAAACATAAAAATCTTTCTACATTTAAAAAAACTACAGAAATGCTATTGGGTCCCATGTATGACTGTTTCCATTTCCCTGACCTTGGATTAATACCACAGAGGACAGGAGAAGGAAAAAAAGGAGAAAGAAGAGGAGGAATCCAGGAGCTAACATTTCCCAGCTAATTGTAAGCCAGCCTCTGTGCGTTCTGTGCACGGGAAAACCAGTTGTCACCTAACAGCCTCAGGAGATTTCCAGATCCTCAAATTATCTGCCAGAACACAAAACAAAATGGGGTTGAAGCTCGATATTGTGGGACATACTAGTGTCCAGCTACTTGGGAGGCTGAGGCAGGAGAATCCCTTGAGCCTGGGGATTCATGAACAGCCTCGCCAACATAATGAGATTAGTCTCTTAAAGCGGGAGAGGAAAAAAGGATGGTGGGGGGAGTGTGCTGAAAGATGTTCATTTGGTTCCTCTTTTGACCTCTCACCCTTGGCCTCCTACATCAGAACTGGTTTTTGCATTTGTGTGTTTATGCATTTAAATCAGGAGGTATCTCACTGATAAATGTTTAGGTTTTGAATCCTTATTATCTTTTTTTTGCAATCTGCAACACCAAATAAATAATCACCCACCGGGGAAGTTCTTCAAGTGGAATTTTGGTATCTTCAGCTTCGGGTTCAGGAGCACTGAAGTAAATATCAGAAAAGAAAGAAACATCATTGGTAAAATCAAAGAACAAAGAAATGACATAACCCATAACATTGACAGCACACAGTAGGAACTCTGAACTAGTGTGCTAACTTAGAAAAATACGGGAAGGATGGAGTCCAAATAATGACCAGTGGTTTTACTGTAACTGGGGACACTGGAGGGGAAGGGGCTTGCACGATCGGGTGCGCTGAGGGGGGGTCTCATGATTTACACTACACTTCAGCAGCATTTGGTTCGTCTGAGATGACATGATACTAACACACTACTTATATGATTTATACTGTTCCAAAATGGCCCTGACTTCTCCCAATAGTTCAAGTCCATTCTTAATGTTTTTTTCTGAATTATAAGCATAGTACACATTCATCATAGAAATGTTGGAAAGCTCAGAATGACTAAGAAAGAAATAAAAATTATCCATAATCTTGCCACTTCTGATATATTAACTTTTTTGTATTTTCTTTTAGTATTTCAATTAACATACTGATACATAAACACAGAGTATATATAGTACGTGTATTTAAATCAAAAGTTGGGAGAAGCACATCACATATAGTTTGGCATCCTATAGCTTTTAATTACCATTATAAATTATAAACAAAATATTTCTTTTATCTTATGTCTGTACTGTGTCTAGTCTTATTTCTCATAAATATCCATGGGGATCCTCAATAAATGTTCTATTTCCTATGTGTCAGTTCAATTTAAGAAAACAACATGCAATTATTTTGTATTACAGTATAATTACCCTTTTCCCAATAAAGCTGGACAAATTGGGTTCTTGTAATTCTCAACTACAGATCCACAAGAAGTACACTGTGTTTTAAATATGGTACCTGAAAAACACACATTCATCAGGTCCAGAATTTAGTACAATCAAGAGTAATCATTTCAAGTATACAACAGTTCAGATCTGAAATGTCCCCCAGAGGCCTGTTTACCCCTCAGGGTCCTTTGCTTGGTGTTCTTGGGAAGAAGCAGAGTCTTTAGAGATGAGGTTCATTTGGAAGTCTGATCATGTGGGGCTATGAACTTGAAGTGGATATTGGGACCTTGGCCCTTACACTTTGTCCCTTTTTGCTTCCCAGCCACCATGAGGTAAGCATCCTGCTTCTCCCTGCCATGATGTGCTGCCTGACCATGGGCTGAACCTCCAAAACTGTGAGTCAAAGCTAACCTTTTCTCTTTTTATCTCAGGAATTTTATTGTAGTAATAGAAAGCTGACCAACACGGGATACAAAGTAATTTAGCCCTCATACAGTCATTTTGGCAAGTGGGTCATAGGAAATATAAATGCTGCTCTATTGAACCACCCAAGAACAAATGCTCTCGAGACTGTAATCTGGAGGGAAATAAGTAACTTCTGAATGTGCTCTCAAATTGCCTGGACGGAATCTTTAGATGGAACTGAAGTCATCAAGAGGGAAGATGAAACTTGACCTAAAGCTAAGGGCAGGATTTATTAAGTATGCAAAGTTTCAATGGTGTAGACTGTGTTTATAAAATCATAACATTGATTTAATAAAGTTAGAATCTTCTACACAAAAATCAGGTCAAGGAATAAGTAATTAACTAGTAAACAAGGAATTCTTAATTCTAGAATCCATTTATTGAGCTAAAGCAATAATGGTGGCCACAGTTTATTAAGGTAGATGCCATGTGCCCAAGGTGGGGCTGAGTGCTTCACACACTGAGTGCACATGGACTGTTGCATCTGGTCCACTCCTCCTTCTTTGGGGAGCCCCATCTCCTCCTTCTCTGAGGAGCCATCTCTCCTCTAGCTCTCGCTGAGCCAATGGAGCTGTCAAGCACATCCCAAATACAATAGCCAGCCTGCTATTCCTCCAGCCACAGTGTCCGATCACAGGGGTGGGCACAGAACCCAAGGGCAGTCATGCAGAGCCTTATTTTCTGAGGACGTAGCTTCCTGAGCAACAGTGAGCCTGGAGCCACAAGAAGTGACCTTACAGAACAACAGCAAAGGGAGAGGTGAGGTTAACAGAGCCGAGAGAGGGCGGTGGGCAGAGGCTGGGAAGGAAAGGGAGGAGCTGCTGTGGACATCTGCCCCACCAGGCCTCCTCGGTTTCATGACCCAGTATTCCGATTCTGCCACATTTACTACGGACGATTTCCCAGGTTAACACCTCTAGAATTTACAGTGTTCTACAGTCCCACCAGCCAAATGCCACCACAGTCACACCCACCTACACGGACTGGTTGAAGGGTAACACTGATCGCTAAAAAGTGGGCCGACTTAATTGTTATTCTCAGTGGCCTGACTGGACAAACACAATCCCTGGAAATTACAGCCAACAAACCATTTAAAGAGCATCAGAGAAGGCCCATCTCAGGTCCAACCCCAGCCACAGAGCAGAGAATCTGAGAGGAGGGGCGACTGCAGGGCACAGAGGGGACTCTATGCAAAATGCAGGCCTCGTGTCTCTGAGTCATTTGGAAGAGATAGGCAAGGAGAAATGTCCCCACCAGGCTGTTCCACTCGTGTTCCGTATGCACAGGATGACGTCATCTCTAAATCCCAACTAAGTTTCAGACATCTCATTTATAATTGGTATAATGACTGTGCCTATCTGTGGGGTAACTGGACACATGAGTGCAGTGCATAATGTTCTGAGCAGAGCACTGAGCATTTTCGTCTTCTCACCCTTTTATCATTTCTTTGCGTTTTCTATAAGAATAAAATAACAAACCCAAGGGACGATAACAGAAAATTGTGGTTTAGGCAGATTCTTTTCTAAATGTCACAGCAAGATCAAAATGCATCTTATCATTGATGGCATCTTCAGTTTTGTGAAATGAAAAGGTTTTATTTTTATTTAAGTTTAAAGAGAGCTCTCATCGTTGGCAAACCAAGAGTCCTGACCAGTAGGGTCCTATGTCACCCTTCTCCACCCCGCAGATGGTATGGCTGCCTCTGCTCTCCATGAGGCAAACATGGAGAAAGCAGATGCAGGTGCCAAAAGCTTGGGTTAATAGGTGGGACAGGAGAAGAAGGGATGTAGCTTTCCTTAGCTAGTGGCCTACCAAGCAGTCACATAGCCTTGCTAAGCATGTGCAAAATCCACACCCACAAACCACCTGTGCTGGGAACTTGCGCACCTCCTGCTTCGGCCTCCCAGAGTGTACCACTCCCGGCCTGGATACGTGTTTTACAGCCCGTCTCCCCTCACCGTGTATCTCCAACAGGTTCTTGGTGCCAGCCCGACGGTGCAGCTCGTCGATGTTCTGGGTGATGACCAAGAGCCGGCGGCCCTGCCGGCTCAGCCGGGCCTCACACTCTGCGATGGCACGGTGCCCGGCATTGGGCTCCTTGGTCAGGATGATGCTGCGCCGGTAGTGGTAGAACTCCCACACGCGTGAGGGGTTGCGAGCGAAGGCCATGGGAGTGGCCAGGTCCTGTGGGCGGAGAGGAGGGGCAGTCAGAGAGGCAAAGGGCTGGCTTTTCTCTAAGGCGAGGCTGGGACCCAGGCCAGGACTAAGGGACAGAAGTGACACAGGTCAGGTAAGCCCTCAAGTAAGACAGGCACAGGCTAAGGAGTGTGTGGGACATATCTGGGCTTGAATCTGCTTTTTCACAGAGTCCCAAAATATATAAAGATAATCTCATTTTGAAGTAACTCAGGAAAAACTGAAATGCAAGACGCCCCAGGGAGGGTCCACAGTCACAGCTGGGAAACTCAGGTTTTATAACACATATACCTTGCACAAGTACACAACGCTGTATATACATAAAACTGTACACAAAATACACAGCTACACAGATGACACACAAACTACTTATATATACACACGCCAACCACACGCAACCACATACGTACATACAGCTGCACATGCACATTATAAAAAGCAGTATATTTGAAGACAGACTATACAACGTATAGTGTTCTGAAGTGTGGCTTGTAGCAAAGACGCATCTTGCCTGGGGGGAAGGGCAGAGCACGTCCTGCTGATGGGAAGGACATAAGGAACCTTTGCCCAGGACGAAGTGTTCCACATCTGGGTGCTGGTGGTGGTGACGTTAACGCAGGTGCGTCCACCTTGAAAAACGCAGCACACTGAACACACAACATCCATGTGTGCCCTTCCTTCTGTGGAAACTGCCTCTGGAGAAGCGAGGTCCCCTGTCAGGATGAGGGTCCCACTCACAGGGGACATGAGATGTGTGTCAGGCCCCCTTCCCCGGCAGTGACATCAGCCCTCCCCCTCAGAACAAATCTCTTTTCTTTTCTTTCTTTTTGGGTACCGGGGATCGAACTCAGGACCTTGTGCTTGCGAAGCAGGCGGCAGAACCACTGAGGTAAATCCTGGCATTTACGAGCAAATTTTGTGTGCTGTGGATGACCCGTGTCCTCCTGCTCACACCTGTGACACAGTGCCCTGTGAACTCTGCACAGGCACTCAGGGGTCCTATATGGATGGCATCAGATGCCTTCTGCTGACCTCTTTGCCAACAAATCCGGAGCTTCCCAAGACTAAGCGCACCCCCACCCACCCCATGGGCTCCTTGGCTGCCCAGCCCCGCTGAGAGTGTCCCCTCTTTCTTGCTGGACCCTACTGGCTCTCTGCTCCTTTCTCTCCTGCTTCACTTTTCAGGGGAGGATTGACAACCTAGGGGGTGACAATACATCCCCCACATCTGCCAGCTCAGATGTTCAACAGAGGGAGGAGAGGCCGGTTCGTGAACTTGGACTCCATGAGATGCTACCTGCTAAAACCGGAAGCCAGGTATTAACTGTGATAACTTATGGCTGCCTTCATGTGACCAACACAGACACCAACAACCAACAATGTGCCAGGTTCTGGGAGCTGGGAACAGCATCATAAATATGAATACAACAGACAAAATTCCCTGCTCTCCAAAACTGAGGATTTTCCAAACCAGGAGGACAGGATGGGGTGGAGATGATGGGCCAAGATGGAGTATTCTGGAGGGACAGAAATATTCAGTCTTAGGCTGGAGGTGTAGCAGTGGTAGAGTACTTGCTCCGCACACGCATGGCCCCGGGTTCTATCCTACTACTGCAGAGAGAAGGAAAGACCTTATGGCAGTGGCTACACAACTATACCTATTTCCTAAAACTCACTAAATAATACAATTAAAATTGGTGAATTTTACTACATGCACATCTCAAAAACTGAATTTGAGCCAGGTGTGCTGGCACGTATCTATAATCCCAACACTCTTGGGGGGCTGAGGCAGGAGGATTGCAAGTTCAAATCCAGCCTGGGCAATTTAGCAACTTCATGAGGCCCTAAGGAGGGGATGTTGCTCAGTGCAGAGGAACTGGGTTCAATCCTGAGTACCACAACAACCACACCACAAAAAAATTTGAATGAAAAAGAAATCCACACATATTTAGATTCATTTAATAGCCTTCATATAAATGAACATCAAGCTCTAAGCCTTGAATAACTCAATTCTACTTTTAATGTGAACACTTCACAGAAACTTTGAAAATACATATTATTTAATTTCAGTTGTTTTTAGAAAAGCAATGAATTGTGCTAAGATTTCCTGATTCCATTTTTTTTTTTTTTTTTCTTTTGCAGTACTACGGATTGAACCCAGGGCTTTGTTCATGCAAGGCAACATGTTACGCAAGTGGTTTACTACTGAGCTACATCCCCAGCCCCTTTTAAAAAGCTAAATTACCCAGGCTGGTCTCAAATTCGCAATCTTCTTGCCTCAGCCTTCAAGTAGCTGGAATTACAGGTGTGTGTCACTGCTTCTGGCTCTGACTCCTCTGAACGCAGTTAGGAGCAATTCATTTTTTACTTGAATAAATGTAATCTGTTCACATCTAGAAGGTAAGGTAAGTAACACTTTGCTTGAATTTGTGACCTTAATCATAGGGACTTCGTGTTGATGCCAAAATGAACAGGACAAAAGGGCCACTGTTTGTCGCAAAGCTTTCCCTCTGCCAGCAGTGCAGGTTCTGGGTCAGTCTGGTGTGGCCTCACTCAGAAGGGCTCATTACCATCCTGGAAACGTTACTAACCTCGGCTTTCCACTTTCTCCAGTAGCCACCAGCTCCTCTGAATGTGGGAATCCCACTTTCAGCACTAATGCCAGCCCCAGAGATGATGACTATGTGCTTGGAACTTGCAAAGCACTTCCGAAAATCTGCCATATCTAAACAGAATGAAAGCTGTGTCAGTCCAGTGTGCCGTTTGGACATTTATACCCATAGCAGCTGTCTATTTGGACACTTCACCTTGTTAGAAATTTTGCTTTCAGATACTCAAATAAAAGTCATTCCTGTATCCTGAAGACACCATATCACACACACACTGCCTTAAAGCCTCAGAATCTCAGCTCTGCCTCACACCCCTCTGTGTGATCTGGGGAAATTCCTTACCCTCCTCCCTGTCAGGGTGCACAGTGGTGCTTGCCCTAGAGCAGAGTTCAGTGCAGATTATAAAGGCGGATGGCTAGGATTTGCCTAAAGAGCACAAGGACAGGGCAGTTTTGTCCAAAGCCTTGCACAGCAACTACTTCCACACAGAGGTCCCCCTTGAACTGCAAGGACACTCAGGAGCATCACGTGCTGTCCTAAGAATGACTTACTAGAACTCTGACGAGCCATCATTAGGCAAATAGTGCTTGAGGGGGAGGCTGAAGGCTTCTTTCCACAACACAGTTGGGAAATTAATCGGCTTGTGACAATCTGAAGAGGTCGCATCAGGGTTTCTTTGTGGTACTAATTCTTCAGGAAGGCTTTAGAAAAAAAATCACAAAAGAGAAACCATCAGAAAAATATTTAAGTATATTTGAATGTGTAATATGTGCACATGTGTGTTGAGTACTTTTATATATACACACTCAGATGTTCCTTGACTTACAGCAGCATTGCATCCTGAAAAACCCATAAGGTGAAATTTGTAATTAAAATGCATTTAATACACTTAACCTGCAGAACATCATAGTTTAGCTTAGCTTAACCTACCTTAAAAGTGCTCAGAACACTTAATTAATCTACAGCTAGGAAAAATCATCTGACACAAGGCCTAATCGATAATAAACTTAACCATCTCGTGATTTACTGAACACTGTACTCAACATGAGAAACAGCACCAGGCCAAAGCAAAAAAGTCTTAGAATAGAATCATTGTGAGTCAGAGACTGTACAGATAGGAATACTCTTAATCTTAGTAACAGTAGAATCATTGTAACAGATCTTCCCAATATTGATCCTCTGCCCTGGCTCTTTACAGCTCCGGCTTTCCAGTGTTTCTTGGATGTGTGTGCACTTGGGTGGGTGGTAGGGTCCTGAGCAGTGCTTCTCAAAGTGTGCAACCAGCCAGCAGCAGCAGCAGCACTGCATGAGGCGTCAGGAATTCAAAGCCTCAGGCTCCATCCCAGACCATGGAGTCAGATGATCTGCAGAGCCCACAGTCCACTCCTCAGTCACCCTGATAACCACAGGTTTGAGAACCACTGCCTTAGAGATCTGGGAAGGAGTTAAATGGGAGAATTCATTTGAAAAATTGCTTATAAAAACATATGAAAATCTCCTTTAAAATCTCTCTAAACTTTTGGTTAAGGGCACATTCACAATATATAATTCAGCTGCTATGAAAAGAATGTATGATTCCACTTGTATGCCATTCTGGAATAAGAAAACTGTGGGTACAGGAAATATGTTTGTGGCCATTGGCAGGGGGAAGAGTGAGGAAACACAAAGGGAGATGGTAGGCGCAGGCTGGGGAGGTAATGGAATTGTCCCATATCGTGTGGCAGTTACAGGATGGTGTCTATGAAAACTCATAGGGGCTGGGGATTTGGCTCACTGGTTCTGCCGCCTGCCTCACAAGCGCAAGGGCTCGAGTTCAATCCCTGGTACCAAAAAAAAACCAAAATAAAACAAAACAAAAAACCTCACAGAACTCCTCACAAAAAAGTGCTAATTTTACTGTATGGAAATTACACTTAAAGATAATGGGCACCAGGGTTTAGTTTTATAAAAGAAGACTTATGAAGACTGGTTGTACAACAACATGAATGTACTTAACACGGCTGAATGGTACCTTCAGAAAGGGTTAGAACAGGACATTCTCTGTTACATGTGTTCCACCACAGTTTTTAAAAAGTAGAATGAAAGTTCTTCCATCTGACAGAGCTCTCCATAACTTCAGGAGAAAAATGTAGTCTTTTTTAAGAGATAGGGAAAGGGATATAAACATATACTTTAGTATTTTCTTGAATTTCTGTCTATAAAAAGAATTCATAAAAAATCAATAGAAGAATTGCTGTGAAATAGGACAGATGGAGACAACAGCAGAGGCAAGGGTTTCAACCCTCGTTATGTTGAGTGGGACCGGAAGTCCATCCTGCCAGCCAAAGACCAGGACCTGTGTGGCCGAGCAAGGCGCCAGGAGAGAATCTGCAGGGCTTTCCAGTGAGAACTGCTGTGGTGTTTAGGCTGGTGTCAGGTCATGCTGGGGAGGAGCTCACAGAAGTCAGCTTTGTCCCAGACTGGCTGCAGCTAGAAACAGCTGCTGCAGTTGGCGTCGTAATGAACCCTAACTACACGGATGAAGGGCTAAAATGAGGCTGACACTGTAACTGACCAGCCAGTGGAAATCCCTCAGGTCAGCACCCCAGGATGGGCAGGGTTTGGTCCTTCTCGTGGTTTAGACAGCGTTCTGTTTGTGCCTGGGTTCAGACATGGTTACTGATTGGTGCTGTTTTTGTCCTGGTTCATTGTGGTCACAGGCAAAGGTGGCCTTGCCTAACACTGGTGTTCTGTGACATGGCTTATGTTCAACAGCAGATCACCAAGTCCTGGTGCAGAGTGCCAGTTCCCAAACTGGAAGCAACCCAAATGCCCACCAATTTCTAAATAAGTAAACAAACTGTGGTTTACTTGTGCAATGAAGATGATTCAGCAACAAACTTTGAACACATTCAATAGCCTGAAAGACCCTTTAAAATAGGCTGAGGCAGGAGGATTGTAAATTTGAGCCCCGCCTGAACAACTTGGCAAGAACTTGCCTCAAAGTAAAAAAGGAAATGGGCCAGTGGTATACTTAGTGCAAAGCTCTTGGTTTCGCACCTAAGCACCACTAATAATAAAATAAATTACACAATAGTAACTTTACAGTAGAAACTTGGCAGCTACCATCTTAACCGAGTGAAAGTGAACATTAAAAAGTCAACTTCATCTACTGCCTGCTATGATTCAGGGAGAAGAACAAAGCTTTGCTGGTACAGAACTTTCCTCAAAAAATGTGTAACAATTACTGGAAAATAGCAGACAAATCCATGACGGACACAGGGAGTGTTACTACAGTCTAGATTTTACTTTTTAGCCAGGGATTTAGCTCAGTGGTTCAGCCGCCTGCCTTACAAGCACAAGGACCCAAGTTCGATCCCCTGGACCAAAAAAAAAGTTATATAGATTTTACTTTTTAATTATAGAAAATCTTAAACATATATGAATAATAGTATAATGAATTCTAATATCTGTCACCCAGGTTCAGTAGGCTTTTAAAAAACACTGTCATGGAAGATAATGGTTAAACTTATACATTTAGATGAAAATTATAAAGATTAAAACTCCCAACAATACTTATCTTTAATTACAAGCTTCTTACATGATGCATGGAGTTATTTTTAGCTTGCTATGTGTGTTTAGCTCTTTCTTTCAAAAATGAATATGTTTATCATCACTGTTACTTTCTAATATTTGAATGTGGAGCACATCAATATAATCAAGACTTCTATTCTGATCGAGGGTCAATTTGCAGGGCATAAAATCAACTCAGAAAAGTTAGTAGCATTTTATATTCTAACTATGATCTACCCAAAACAAAAATTAAGAAAACAATCTTATTTAAATGGAATAAAAAGTACTCATGAATAGATTTAAGCAAGGAGGTGAAAATAAAAATTGCCTACTGAAAACAAAAGCACTAATGAAAATAACTAAAGAAGATACAAATACAGGGAAAGGTGGCCTATGTTCATGGATTGGAAGAGAGTTATTTAAATGGCCATAAATCAAAAGTGACTCAATGCAATCCCTATCAAAATTCCCATGGCATTTTAAATAGAAAAGACAATCCTAAAATTCACACGGAACTACAAAAGACCCCAAGATAGCCAAAGGAATCTTGAGCAAGAACACAGCCAGAGGAATCATACTCCTGATTTCAAAATATCGAAAAGCTATTATAGTCAAACAGCACAGTGCTGGCATAAAGAGGAACACTGACCAACAGGCCAGGATACAAAGTCTAGAAATAGATCCACCCATTTATAGTCAATTAATTTTCAAGAAAGATGCCAAGAACACATTGCAGAAAGGAAAGTCTTTCGAAAAAGCAGTGCTGTGAAAACTGGCACCCTTTGGACCTTTATCTCATATCATATACAGAAGTAAACTCAAAATGGGTTGAAGAAATTTAAAAGGCCTGAAACTATAAAACGATGAGAAGGAAACAGTAGAAATTGTCATGACACTAGCCTGGGCAATGATTTCTTAAAACAGATGACAAAAGCAAAAATAGATAAATGGCACTGGATCACACTGTGAAGCTTCTGCACAGCAAAGGAAACAACTCCCAGATCGGAAGAAAATATCTGTAATCATCCATCGGATAAGGGGCTAATACCAAAAATATGTCAGGAACTCAACAGAAAGAAAACAATTTTTAAAATAAGCCAAAGACCCAAACCGGTATTTCTCAAAAGAAGCCAATGAGAATGGTAATAGTTAAATAGAAAAATGCTTAACATGTCTAACCTATGGGAAAATGCAAACCAAACTACAGTGAGGTATTACCTGAGCCCTTTTAAGATGGTTAATATCAAGAAGATAAGACATGTTATCAAGGATGTGGAGAAAGGGAACCCTATTGAATGTACAGGATGGGAATGTAAAATACTGTAGCCATTACGGAGGTTCCTCAGCAACGGAGAACTAGAATTACCCCACAGTCCAACAACAATTCTTCGTGTATATATACAGGAAAAGGATTTGAAATCAGTGTGTTGCTGGGCTTTCTGTTCTCACATGCTAATTTCAGCATTATTTACAATTTCTATGGTATGGTAGTAACCCAAATGTCCACCAAGAAAAATGGATAAAGAAAATGTAGAACATGCACATAGTATGATACTACATGGCCTTTAAAAAGGGAAATTCTGGAAAAAAAAGGAAAAAGGAAATTCTGGGGTTGGGTATGTACCTCAATAGTAGTGCTCGCCTAATATGTATGAAGCCCTAGATTTGAGCCCCAACACTGAAGTGGGGTGCATTCTGCCATTTTCAATAACACGGATGACTGTGGAGAACCATATGTTACACGAAATAAGCCAGGCATGAAAAATAAATACCACGTGACCTCACAACACTTACAAAGTAGAAGAACATTGAACTCATACAAGTAGTGACTACAGCGGTGGTCGCCAGAAGCTAGAGGTGAGGGAGGAATGGAGAAAGTGGAGATGTTGGTCAAAGGGTACAAAAGTTCATTCAGAGTGGAGCAGTAAGCTTTAGTGATCAGTTGCACAGCCTGGTAACCTCAGTTGGTAACACCGTATTGTTTATTTCAAAACTGCTAAGAATAAACATTCTCGCCACAAAAACCCAAGTAGCTGAGGTGATAGATACGTCGATTAGCTTCATTTAATCTGTCTACAATTATGCATATATCAAAACATCACACTATACTATAAACATATATCTTTATTTTTCAACACAAAATTTAAAAATTTTAAGGAATGGAAAAATACATGGTAAAGAATATTGCAAAGGAATTGTAAAAACTTTCACAGGAGTTCGACTTTTGGGTAACCGAGCTACGTAAGCGCAATAGCAACCGCTGGTGTTTACACTGGTGGACTACATGCCCTCTTGGACTCCACCACCCGCTCTCAGCTCTCAGGGTTACCAGTGACCTCTACCAGCCTCGGACCAGCTGATCACCACTGGGAAACGCGTGCTTCCTCTGGCTTGTGGCCCCCCCACCCTCTCTTGGTCGTCTTCCTGCTCTCCCGATCTCCCATCTTCCTAGGGCTCCTCACCCGGCCACACGCTTGGCACTGTCCCCACGCCACCACCTCCCAAAGTCTCGCCATCCTCCAGTCGGACGCCCGGACCCTGACCCCTCTCTTTCTCCCACGGCCCACAGCCAGCGAATCCTGACCGCTCCGCTCCGCCTTCACACCGTGTCCCGAATCCGACCCCAGTCCCCTGTCCGTGGCCACCCCCTGGCCCCGGGCCCCTGCTCCGATCTCGGCCGCTGCACCTCGCTGGGCTGAGGCCTCCTCCGGGCGCCT